TGGTGCCCCCCCCCCCCCCCCCCCCCCCCCCCCCCCAACACACACACACACACACACACACACACACACACACACACAGCTTCTGGTTCCTCTTGCTCTTCCATTTATTCCCCCTCCTCACCTATGCAGCCCCCTCACCTGTTACCCGGAGATCTCGCCTTGTCCTTCTATCTATGGTTCAGACGAACAGGCCTCCAGGTTATTACCTGTTCTGAAGATCCCAGCCCTGCCAAGCCAGCCCAGCCCGCTGAGCACCCCAAACAGTACACCTTTTCTTCCCTCCAGGATCTTGCATCCTGGACCGGCCCAGCCAAACCCCGCCCCCAGCCTTACACTAGGAAAGTGGGTTGCACCTAGTCGGGAGCCACGGTAGAGGCGCTGAATCTGGGAGCAGAGGGTTCAGAGGCTGAGCGTCCACAAACGTGACCTGAGACAAACATAGTCAGCCTCTCCCTTTCTGCCTCAGTGTCTCCTAGCAATAGCAACTCTTCCTGAGGGGGCTCCTCAGGGCAGGACAGAGATGGCTGTGACTGCAGCACAGGATGTTTGAGTGCCTGTTCTCCGGCCATCACTTTTATAAGAAGGAGAACAAGGCAGGGTTGAAAACAAAGGCGGGAGAGTCAACTGGATTGCCAAGATTTACGGGGGATTCCCCTCCTCCACCCCGTGGCGCTCATGCACACTTGAGTCTGATTGGAAGCCGAAGACGTAGCGGTTTTGATGGGCAGAGCACTGAGCCAATGGGATTACCGTCTGGACGCCGGCGCCGCCGTAACTGGTCAGAATTGTCTGTCCAAGAGAAAATAAGGCCAATGGGGCCGGAGCATTTATTGGTCCCGTGGGGCCTGGGTTCTGCAGGTCCGGGTGAACGCCTGAAGATGAGTCGTAGGGAAGGGCAAAAGTTGCGGGAATGTGGGGAGCGGCTTGGTTCGGGTTGGCTTGTCACGTGACTCGTAAACCCAGGTTAGTATCCAGGCAGGGAGAAAATATCCTGTTGGCCCGAGTCACAGAGTTTTGACTCAGCCGGCGGAAAAGTCGCGCAATCGCGCGGTGTCAAAATCCGTAATCAGTGCATTCTGCTACTGATGAAGAACAGCGGTTATACACACACAGGGACTGTTGACTAACGGAGGGAGAGAGAGAAACAGCAATTTGTTGTTCCATTTATTTATGCATTCATGGATTGATTCTTGTGTGTGTGCCCTGACTGAGGACTGAACCCACAACTTTGGCATATGGGGATGACGCTCTAATTGAGCTACCCGGCCAGGGCAGGAATTCATTTTAAATAAAATAATGAGGCTATAGTAATATAGGTATTTTCATTTGCCTGCCTCCCTAATAATACGTCGGATAAAAACAGGAAAGTTTGGGGTGTGGATCTGGAATTCAAACTGGTATTATCGTGAACATTTGAGTGGCTGAAGGTAAAGACAGGAACAGGACCTAATATTTACTGGGTAACTCAGGAACTTTCTCAAGATTACTCTGTAAGTAGCTTAACCAAATTTTAGGTGCCAGAGCCCATATTCCTTGTACTATACTAAACTACCTTGCTGGAACCTTCTCAAATTTCCCCCCTGTCTTTTCCTGCTCATCCTGCATCTTGCTCAAGTAGTGAAAAGACAAAGCAGGTTCCTAGGTTGATGCAGAGCTCCAAGGAAAACAGAAATGTCCCTGCTTAGATTTTTCCCAGAGCAAGAAAGCTTTCAAAGGGTTTCCTCCCCACTGCATGTGTAGAGATGATTAAGTGAAAAATATAGTCAGCTTCCACTAATGTTAGAACTGAAAGGAACCTCTGGCATCATCTGCTAGTCTACCTTCTCTCTTCCACCAGATTTATCAAGCTCCCAAGAGGGAAATTACTTGCCTAAAATCACACACCAAATTAAGGTGGAGCTGGAACTAGTACTTAGGTGTCCTAACTCCCAGTCCATGATTCTTTCTTAATATTACTAATTATCAATAACCTTAAAAGCATAATTTTCCATAGACAAACCATAGTGTGCATAATATTTCCTTAAACAATTTGGAGTAGCTTCTAATAGTCATTTTAATTAAGAGCTTGGAACAGTAATGATAATTATTATAAACGATGGGACACTAGTACCCCATTTCATTTACATCCTGATCTTAGAGTCTATATGATTCCTTCCTCCTAGACTACATCCCTCAAGAAGTCCTCACAGTCCTATCTGGTTTGGCTCAGTGGATAGAGCGTGGGCTTGTGGGCTGAAGGGTCCCTGATTCAATTCCAGTCAAGGGCACATGCCCAGGTTGCAGGCTCGATCCCCAGTAGGGGGCATGCAGGAGGCAGCTGATCAATGATTTTATTTATTTATTTATTGTCTAAAGTTTTACATATGTCTCCTTTTTCCCCGATGATCAATGACTTTTTCATCATTCATGTTTCTATCTCTCTTTCCCTCTTCCTTCCTCTCTGAAATCAATATATATGTACCTGGAGTTTCATCCTTATATGTAGTTGCTGGCAGGAAACTTTTGTCGTCAGTGGACTTGGGGGCTGAGTCGGTGGCTTGGAAGGCAGATGGAATGCAGGTGTGTGCTCAGGTGTTTTTAGGACAGTTTCAGTTCCTTATATGGTCTGATTCCTGGTGTCCAGAAAGCTTTTCCTGGCCTTTGTCTCCTGTGGCAGGAAGTTTACAAATGGCCGTTATATTGTCCTATAGTCCTAACACAATGAGGCCTTTTCACCTTTGCAAAGAATAGGCTGAGCCCCCTTCTTTATTTTGCTTTGTCCCCTACTCTCTCATGAGGCTAGAAGAGGATTCTGATAGCACAAGGATGTGGGCCAAGAGGATATAGCAAGACCCAAACTGCAAGGGAACATTTGGGTAAATTACAGAGGTAGAAAAAGTAATTCCTAGAAGAAATGGATTTAGCAAACAAGTTCTAGAGGTTAAGTTAGGGCCCTTGGAGCTTGGGAGTGAGGAAGCTTATGTAACTTGCTTGGGAGGGCCGTGCGGGTGTGGAGAAGGGGCTGGAAAGGGAAAGTCATGGGCATGTTCGGTGGAGGGAGAGTGCACAGTCCTCCATCCTGTGGGTTTTAAGGAAGGAGATTTTAGGGGTGGTCCCAGGGAAAGATCTTAATAAAATATTCAGGAGTTTTCCAGGTGTGTCCTTTCAGGGTTGTGGTCTCCACTGATTGATTGGCCAACGGGGGGGGGGGGTGGGTGTCATTGTAGCTGGGCCTGATGTCCCCGGTGGCTAGTTTTGTTGCTTTTATCAGTGGTTCTCCACCTTCTGGCCCTTTAAATAACGTTCCTCATGTTGTGACCCAACCATAAAATTATTTTGGTTGCTACTTCATAACTGTAATGTTGCTACTGTTATGAATTGTAATGTAAATATCTGATATGAAGGATGGTCTTAGGCGCCCCCTGTGAAAGGGTCGTTCGACCGCCAAAGGGGTCGTGACCCACAGGTTGAGAACCGCTGTCTTATCTGGACCTAGAGCTGAAATACAACTGAGGCCCAGATGTTATCTCTAGGGAGGAAAGGTCAAGAGATCCATACCGCAGACCAGTGATATGCTAGGGGAGGGAAAGTCACCAGGCGAGGTCCACCCTACACTTAATTATCCATTGCTAGGCACCTGGAGCTTTCCATCCTGCTAACCTTTTGTTTTAATCCTCACCCCAGGATATTTTTGCATTGATTTTTAGAGAGAGTGTAAGTGGGGTGGGGGAGAGAAACATCGGTGTGAGAGACATGGATTGGTTCCCTCCTCCTTGCTTTCCAGGAGTTTACAACCTACTTGAACATATGTCTGAGAAAAGTGTCTACAGTGTGTGTGTGTGTGTGTGTGTGTGTGTGTGGGGGGGGGGGGGGGGGGGGGGGGGGGGGATCTAGCCTGCAACTGAGGTTCGTGCCCTTGGCTGGAATTGAACCCAGGACCCTTCGGTCTGCGGCCAACGCTCTATCCACTGAGCAAACAGGGTTGGGCCCTGGAGACCCTCTGTACCTGGCCGATCCTCCCTGCTCTGCTCACGTCTGTCTAACTGCCGGCCACACTAAGAAGGTAAGGCTTCCCCTTTGGCGCCAGGGTGCACCGAAGGGGTCCAAGACCAGGCAGTCATACTCAGAGGAGTAAGGCGGAGGACCAGGGACTGCGGGGTGCCTATGGGACATCAGCCATGTCCGCGAGGTTTCTAGCATTCTCTTTTAAAACGTCCAAAAGATCAAAGCCTCTGCTGAGCAGCCAGCTTCCGCCCACCAGAACTCCAGCGCAGCAGCCCGGGCCCTCGGCCCCTCGATCTTCCCTCCAGCTCCTTCCCATGCTCCTGCACATTTCCCCCCGTCTCCGCCTCCACCCAGCTCCCGCTGCCCGTCTCTGACTGGCCCTAGGCCCGTCACTCCCGGCCTGGTCCCGCCCCCCAGGAGCAGTCATTGGCTGCGGGGGCTGGTACGCGGCGGCTGTGGGGGTGGAGGGTGAGCGGAGTGCTGGGGGGAGGCGGGAATTCCCGACCGGAGGCCGGAACCCGGCGGGGGCCATGGAGTGAGACCCTCGCGAGGTGAGTGCGGCTTTCCTGGGGGTGGGATTCCCGTCGGCCGCCCCGGCCGGGGCCTGGGAGCTGGAGTTCGGGTTCTCACACACTTGGGCTTCCCGGAACGCTGGCGGCCTGGGACCCCGCCTCCCGCAGCCGGGACTTCAGACACCGCCCTCGGTGGTTGTGCCAGCCCGTCCCGGGACCCCAGACCCCGAGGGCCTGTGGCTGGAAGTGGCCTCTCTCCGTCTTCGGGGGCATGGCGCCGGGGGAACGGGAGCGGGAGAGCCGTCCGGCAGCCGGGCTCTCCTTGTTCTTTCTGGGGGTCCACGGAGCGACCCGTGCGACATCTCTGCACAGCCCCGAACCCCGCTCGGCTCCTCCGTTCCTTCCACGAAGGGGCCTGGCCTCCGCTTTTCTTCCAGGGCCCCGGCTCCCCAGTTCTCGGGGAGCTGCAGGCGAAAGCGCAAGGAGATGGCTGCACAGTCCTCGTGCCCCTGTTTCCCCCTTGCTGGGCCCCTGAACAGTCGCTGGGAAGGGACCAAGGGGAAGGAGGACTGTTCCCCTAAAGGAGGGGATGAGTCACGCGGGAAGGTCAGAAAGCGCCGGCCGAGGGAGCTGTACTTACATGACCATTCCCCCCGCGCTCTCTTCCCAGGTCTGAGAGTCACTGGAGCAGCCGGCCACCATGGGGCCCTGGGGAGAACCAGAGCTCCTGGTGTGGCGCCCAGAGGCAGTAGCCTCGGCTCCCCCACTGCCGGTGGGCCTGGAGGTGAAGTTGGGGGCCCTGGTGCTCCTGCTGGTGCTCACGCT